TAGTTTGAACGTCCCTCTTCCTTAACATTCCAAATTTATTTATATATTGATAGAATTACCGCAAGACGGTTTAGAGTTTATCTCTCTTATATCATGATTTATATACATACATACATTATACGAACATAAAGTTCGACTGAGATGCTACTGTACGCGGGATCTTCACCGGGAATTTTGATGGCAATATGATTGGTTTGACCCCATTGACATTTGCCATCGCAAGTGAATTGTATCTATAAATTAAATGATTAATAAAGGTGTATATCTCATTAATATTTACAGCATTTTCTACATAAGTCACTAAATCCACTCAGTGATAATGGAAATGTATGTCTCATACACAATTTTAAGAGGATTTTAATCCTAATCCTAATCACCACAAGCAATTAATTTATAATTAGTGTATCTTGACGTAGACCTAATAATTCTCTAGTTTAATTAAAGCTTACATTAGGTTCTTCTAATGTTGAGAGTCCCATTCTATGTCAAATTAGCCTACTCGGATCAAAGGCAGGACATCATTTAGATTGTAGCCTAATACGTATTTTTAACCTGTAGATCTGATGAGTAGTAAACACACTTGTGTTGGAGAAGAAGGCAAATGAGAGATGAAACCTTGTCTTTACCAAAATCAACCATCTACCTTTCACTTATCCTGGCCAGCGTTCGCCAGCATTCTAAATTGAAAAGGTTGTATAACTCTCCGTTTAATTCGAATTATTAAATTCTTTACCGGTACTTTCTTTAAATTATAAATTTAAATTAAACAATTGTCATTGACAGACTGTAAACTATTTTTGTTTTAAATTAAAAGACAAACCTTGGACCTAATTAATAGGAGAATATTTGGCAGCTAGTTCCATATTAATTCTGTTATGATATTTTGTGAAATTACATAAAGAGCTAAAAATATGTTGGATATGAACGAGGAATAAACTGACCTAAAATATATCTTAACTATAACTTTAATACCTTACTTATAAGGTGCGCAATGTTAACCCTGCACTAACATGCTATTAAGATCAAGTATGAGTGTGATTATCTACAGGCCTCAAAACTTCATTGTTATCATTAATACATTATCAATCTGAATAGGCCGACATATGAATTTTATTCTCACCTGGCACTGACGAAACAGCTTTTCGTGGTCATGGTCATACAGTAACTTCAGTTAGTTTGGTGCGTATACAGCCTGGAAAAATGGAAAATAGATATGGGATATTAGTGCTGCAGGCACCCCAACATAACTTACCATCAACGAGTAATGGGCTTATTCTGACGCCTCGCTGTGATAGGCTGGAAACAGTTCCGAGGTATATTATCAGGACTATTATGATCATAATCATAAAGCAAACTTTAATTGTTGTTTTCAGAATACAAAGTCCAAGTTTGAACAGAGATTATTTTTACATCGCAAATCATTATTTAATTTAATTTCATTCCATACATTTTACTCGGATTTTGGGGAAGGATCACCATATTTCTATTTAACATAGGCCTATGCGTACTGGTATTTTGTTGCTGATAACCAAGAAAGAAGCATAAGCACGTACTGTGAATGCTATGTTGCTTTTTAGATGGCGCTAAATAGTATGAAAACTAATTTTGCTTGCGCCTTTTAACGAGACGCGCAATTACCACCTGTTACCATACGAATATGAATCCGATAATTGCGGCAGCATTGAAATCGATAATCACATACGACGACACATCATCCTTTCTTGTATAACAGTATGTGTACGACGTAACGTAGGCCTAATCCACGAGGTCGTCATGTTATTGAGGTTCACATGCCTCTTTTCTACATGAGAAAGTGATGCATGAGTGTTGGGGAAGAAGGGGGAAGCTGCTATTATAATAACATTGAATGATACGGTACGTTGTTATAGCTAAAACTATGGAACCATACTGAATAGTTTGGATAGCAGTCTAATCCTACTTTGCTTTGTGGTTGTCATTTTAAGCCTTTGAATGCTGTCAGAACTTAATCTTCTCGAGATCTTGCCATCTTCCATTTTGATTTTGTTCTCTCTTAAATCTCATCTTATTGTATATTTGTGTTTTTATATGGAAGAAAAAAAATGTCTTTTGAATTGAATTGAATTGAAACTGTACACAAGATTAGCCCACATTTTTATCATTCTATCCTCATTGAAAATATAAACCTTCAGTTTGTTATCATGGTATGGCAACTTTGATGCAGCTATTTTTTTGTTCTGTTTATAAAACTATTATAATCTAAACGCACGGATGGCTGTTTTATTGACGCACTAATGTTGTTTGTAATTTTGGCGCCACTGTTTCATTATGCACACGCGGCAATAACTTGAGATATTGGAGTTCGAATACGATTTATTAGCAAAATTTTTTTCGATATTCTCTTTTAATGTTTATTTAATGTACTTGTAAATGTATTACTGTCGAGTGAGAGCTCGGACTGTATTAGGCCCAGTGGCAGAAAATGATTACAATCGATGAGGAATGTTTTCATGTGTTTTGTGCATTATGTGTAATGAAAATGAACAAACTACAACAAACTTTACAAGAAGTGTAGGCGACTATACATTATAGACAAGCACATGAAGTTAACGTTTGCACCAATTGTCCAGCATGTATACAACTTAGCTATGATAAAATGACAGGCATAGTAGTCTAATAATAGCATATTAATTATAATCGGTTGGCTTAAAAGACACAGGCACTTCATAGCTTTTTTTTTGTAAAATTTATTGACACCCATGCTTTCATGCATACAGTAGTTACTGTTCAAATGTAACCTTTCAGCATGTCGAGTTTTCAATTATAATAAATAAGGTCCTATTAGAAACTCGCGACAAGGACAAATGATTAGGAATCCCTCCTTACTATAGAAATACAATTTTAAATCGAATTAGCCTACTGGTTGTAATTCAGGTCAACTGTACTGTCAAGATACACGAAAATAATATATATAAAACCACTTTATTCATTAAGACATAAAACTATACAGAAATGAATAAAGGAGAACAAATATTTACAAGCCTAGGTGAAGTCTCGATTACAGAAATGCAACGCAAAAAAATTACAAAATCTGATAAAAACATTAAAAAGGTACAAAAACGAAATAATATTAAAATCACAAGATCAATAAAGCAAGATTCACAGGAATTTTGTATATGTTGTTATTACCAGTAACTACAAAATATCGCTAGGCCTATAACTTCTATTATTGATCATTGTTATTATGATACATAAAACCATAGATCTTCTGCAAAAGTTAATTTGTGTTTATTGACTAGGCCTATTGTGATTTTGTAATTTTACTTGCGTATTTTGTCACTTTGTGTTATGCTATTGAGTTTTGTAAATTCAGGGCAACTGTTTGTTTTGCAATAAATTTATCTTCAATTTTGGATATATGCCTATGTATTGCTAGTATCGCAAATACGCTTTATTTATATTTAGGTAACGTTCAGATAAAAAAGTCGACATTAAATAGCACTTTCCGCCATTGTAATATAAATGACTGATATATTGCGATCTTTTTCTGTATAGGCCTATATTCTATATCCATAAATGCTGGAATAACCACCGCACTCTCAAATAAGCGCAGCACTAAACCTGATTTTGTTTAGCTAAGCGACTGCTGTCTCACTGTGTAATGAAACACTTTGAGAAACAGCGTTTTAAATACAATGTATACAGTGTTAACATAAATAAATAACACAATAAAGACACAAGCATTTCTTCATAAACGTTTATTTACGGTGAGGTAGGACCTATGATAGGCCTACTGAACCACGGGAATTGGGAATACGTGAGATAGGTAACATTGGAATGGGCATGGAAAACGCCACGCCAATATTTTGTGTATAAGCACCGCTCTCGAATAAGCGCCGATCTATAAGCGCCGCATTGAAGCCTCAAAAAAGTGTTATAAGCGCCGCAGCGCATATTCCAGCATTTACGGTTGCATAAGCCTAAATGACCACCAACCAGCTATTTGATTTTTATCTCTGTTAGATTTTTAAAATGTCATGAGTAACTAATAGCTTACAGCAGAAAAAAAAATACAATTACGCCCGTCGGTAGCATTTTACAATTTTAACTACAGGCTTATATTGGAGTGTATAACATGTCTAAAGTTACGTACACAACTTTAGGCACAAGCGCCAAAAATAATGACAAGAAACGAACTAAATCAATTTCCTAACTGGACAAATCATGAAAAATTATGAAGCAGACTCAAGAATTTTGTTTCCTGAAAATAAAGAAATTAGGAAGACCTCATCTGACTCTTCTTTAAATTTTTGAACAAGATACAAACCTGAAAATGTGATGCGAAAATGTACCGTATTGAACTTACCTACTATAGAACAGAGACTCATATCATAGCATTATTTCTATTGTAATTTCAATGATTTTATCATCCTTGATTTTATAGAGACTAATATCAGTTATCTTGAGTCAAGGACAAATTATTTTAAAGAACACGCTTTTTATCAATTTCCACGTTTATGGCAATCAATCTCCCCTGAAATAAGGCTGCTTTCTTGGAAGTTTTAAATATTTTAAAAATTCATTTTACAATACTACATGCAAGTTGTTTTACTGGCATTTTATATTAATGTTAATTTTAATTCCAATAGTTTATTTCTGATCTTGAATCCCTTTTATATGTCTTTTTTGTTGTTGTAAATATAGGCCTATGTTTAGTATAAGAGAGTTACTTGATAGTGCTTGCACTTTTGGAAATTCTCAAGTAATGACCATCTTGTCTTGTCTTCTATTGCTTTTACCTGATATTGAATACACGAAAAAACAATATGAAATGAGCTGATAAAGATCGTGCTTGACAGAGATAATTGGCTGAAAATATCCTGATACCCACAAAAGAACGAACGTCATTGGATGACATTAATTAAGTGGCAATCTCTCCACAAGACAAACATAGACAAAATACTCTATAATTTTCTCACTACGAGGCTTAGAAAGTGAAGCTGTTTTTGTTGTTGTTTTGAGCCTGTTATCGAGACAGAAATTAAACTCCATGAAGACCATAAGTTTTAAGGCAATCAACATAACCTTCCAGCTATTTAACACCACTCGCCATAGGTACACCACAGTTACAGCATTCACAAGAATAGCTAAGCATAATGAGAGCAACGAAATATTATTAAAATGTGATTAATTGTAAAATAATCAGTTAAATTTAGTCGTCTCTAATAGACTAAATGCAATTTAGAATTACGTTGGTGTTTTGTTTTCCATACGCATTTACTTTTTTTTTCTTTAGTGGGTGCAACCCATCTTCATTCTGCTTTTTTGTTGTTTTCTTATTTATACAATGCTTACATATGTAAAAGCTATTTCAAATAGATTTGTAATTACAGTATTGATAAAGATGATCATAATGGTTAAAATCTGTAGGCCTATAGCAGAAATACATTATCCTTATGTAATCAATTTGCACACAGGCATATATACACTTAAACATAAACGTAAAATTACTATTTTTTTATTTAACAATTCTTTATTAAACATTGTGTACTGTACACTCTAACAGAGCATATACAAATGAATAAAAAATAGAACTTAGTTTAAAAACACACACTAAAAAAAAAGATCTTAAAACTCGGAATAACTCCGATGAAAGCGCCCTCTCGCAAAAGAGTTTCTGAATGAACAAAGATGACTTGATCAATCAGTCTAAGACACAGGCGTAATCTCCTCATCGAATTTGCTTATTCATTTTGTTCTTTAGCATTCATTTGGCACAAGAGATTGAGTGAATTATTCAAGACTTTTAAAATATTAATGGCATCTTGTTTATTTAAATGAAATTATATATCTAGTCATAAATTATTTAAACTACACTAATTTTATTACGTGGAGAGCTAGAATAAATTTCTTGTCATCCACGAGAGACAGACATTGATTAAAACATTGACTTTGACCTATTCTAGTAATTACCTCCATAGATACCATAAACAATGCATCTCATTATGTGGCAGAGACGTACCTAGAATTTGTGATTCATTTTAATAATTTTATCCCCGTTTTGTGTTTATTTCTTTTATCTATTGGCTGTTTTGGCCTATAAATGCCAATAGTAACTTTACTGTGATTAATATTAAAATAAATTAATAAATTGTAAATTATATTGTGGGTATGCTACATGCGAATAAATTGTAAAACTTAACTACGTGAGAGTACTCGCCACTGGGTTTGCTGGGTCGATTCTGTAAATGAAAGTCGTTAAAATAGATTTATTATGACTC